CCCTAAAACTTCAGCACATATTACTGCCGCTTGGAATTTAGATGAAGTGGCTTTGAAGATCAATCTGCATTGATAAGCTAGTGGAAATGACTATGGATCAGCTAATTTTCAGTGTGAAAAATGTAAATTGTATCCCCACTTCATAATATTCAAAAACATTGATTCCAGATAAAGTATTTACTGAAATGTGAAGAGAACACCATCATTAAAACTTTAGAAGGAAATATATAAGAATAGCTTTGTCTTTGAATTAGGGAAGGATTTCTTAAATAAGATATAAGAGGTATCAGCAATATGGAAAAGATTTTTGACTACATAAATTTAAGGACTTCCATTTACTGGAAGAACATAAATATTTAAGAACTATAAATCATTAAGAACATTGAGAACAACCTAATGCAAATGTGAGTAAAAGATCTGAATGGCATTTCACAGAATAGGAAATATAATAAGCATGATTGGTTACCATTATATCCCTGCCAAATAGAAACTAACAATGACAATTTGGTGGTGTGTGTTCTGTGATCCCAAAGGGATATCCATTGACACAAGCACTTTGAAAATATGTTGACATCATCTAGTAAGATTGAAGATGAGTATCTCCTTATAATCATCAATTTTACTCCTATCAGAGACACCAATGATTTTCAAACTTTTGACCATAACTCATGTTGTAAAATTTTGCAGTGGAACTAAGATCTTTTATGTATGTGTATTTTTAGAACAGAAAATTAGCAGCAAACCTGATATTTAAATTGTGGCTACCACTGGTTTCTAAACAAATTTAAGAACCAACTGATGGGATGTACCATTAAAAAATGGTACATATACATAGGTAGACATGTACAAAAATGTTTGTATCTGTACTGTTTATGATAGCCCCAAATCGGAAGGGGAGTAAATTATTAAACATAATTTAATATTATAAGCAATGAAAATGAGGCATAATTTATACATTAAAATATGGGTAAATCTTAGAAACATAATGTTGAGTGAAAAAAGCAAGTTATAGCTCAGTGTGGCTCAATGGTTGAGCATCGACCTATTAACCAGGAGGTCAAGGTTTGATTCCAGTCAGGGGCACATGTCTGGGTTATTGACTCAATTCCTAGGGGGAGGAGAAAGCCGGTCAATAATTCCTTCTCATCATTGATATTTTATCTCTCCCTCTCCCTTTCTATCTAAGATAAAAAAATATGTGGTGTTTTTTTTAAGTCCTCACATCTTAATCAAAAAGAGGAAAGTAAACATGAATCTTTAACAAAAGCAAGTCATATTTCTAAGGATGATGCAGTTTTCAAAAAAACTAAACAATAATGTTTATCATAATAACCACAACCTAATAAGAATTAATTACACTCTCCTAGACTTAAATATTTCACACACACACACACACACACACTTAAATTTACTAGCTTTGGATTATTATGGTTTCTCTGAGAGAAAATATCTTATATAATACTATAATGTATATTTTAAGTAGATATAGTGAATTCTTGTCCTATTAGTTATATAGAAAACAAATTATAGGTGGACAATAATTGTGAGCCCATGTGTTTTATTTCTAGAATACCCCACAATTGTTAATATTTCTATATATTGTATATACCTATTTATTAACATATCTATATATTTTTTAATATATTCTAGAATCTGCTATCACCATAAAAAGCACTGAGCCATGGGAAGACAGATAAATTATTGATTATGCCTTTGAAATTAATAGTTAAAATTGAGTAAAGGTTAGAACCCTCTGGCCATTGCTGTAGAGCAGCAATTTTTAACCTTTTTCATTTCATGGCATACATAAACTAATTACTAAAATTCTGGGTCACACTAAAAAATATGTATTTTGCTGATTTATCAGCACCTATTGTATTGGTTGTCATTTGTTTTGTTTGAAAAGAGATCAGTGCTCCTGATAGTCAGGTATTGCATGCACACTGCTAAGCCCATAGAGCTTTCAGACAAGAGCATGTGCAGGCTCTGTCTGAGAAGTTGTGCAAGTACTCAAAATAATTTCTTGTGGTACTGCATAGCCAAAAATAGTTGGTAGCAGTGCAATTTTTTTGTCAATTGAATAAATAGTAAACCAGGTAAAGAATAAGATGATTTTTTTTAAATCAATTTCTTATAGCTAATTATCTTCATGTATGGCTCAACCTTAACTTTTCTATCTGACTTTGAATTTAAAATTAAAGTAACTAACAGGCAATTGTTTTTTGAATAATGTGGTTTTAAAACTATTCAGCTTTTCTATTTCAGGCTACTTCTGCTTTTCAACATTTAGAATAAATGAAAATTCCAAATTACTGGTAGAACTGCAACATTATTTTAGACTAAATACCTATTTCTATTATGTCTGTTGATATTTTTCTAGCTAAATTCTTCTCCTAATAGGTATAATGTCAGAATAAGATATGTTTTAAATTAGATATGCTCTTAAATGAAAATCAATAGTGCATTTTCCATAAAGCAAAATAACTTTAAGAACTACTTCAGACCTTCTATCTAAATATAACATTATTTTTAAAGGTCCTGGTAAGTAATTTTGACTTTTTATTGCCCATTGGAATACTAAAAAGTATGGCAGTTATAACTGGTAATAGGTAGTCTATTAAACTTTCTCATTGAAATGCATCCAGTCATTAAAGTAGAAAATTCACATCAGAAAATTTTGTACTTTAATAAGTTTTATAAATAAGCAACCTGATATATATTTTTCTAACATGTTGCCATTTCCTTTTAGTCTCTTTACTCAAGTAAGAAATACTGTTTTGATTTCTGAATATTTGCTTATCTTTTCCTCCACCACAATCCATCCTTCCTACACTATCTCCCCTACACATACACAGGCACACACTCACACCTATACACACTTGTCTTTGAAAGCATACTTTAAAAAAAAAATGCTTCTCCTGTGTTCCTAACTTATGTTGATTTTTATAGCCTTTGTTGTTTTATATCTGACAGTTAACATATGCTAATATAAAATGAAGCAACATGATAGGAAAAAATCATAGATTATAGCTAGCTTTCAAATCTTGCCTCTGCCTCTTTCTACTCCTATTATAGTGAACAAATACTTAACCATTCTGTGCCATAATGGAGACTACAGAATCCATTTTGCAGATTGGAGGGTTTGCACATTAAAGCATTTATTATTGCAGCTAGTAATTCATAGCTTAACAAAAATAATATGTTAATGCATCATGAACTGTGAAGAGGATGAGAATTTACCTTCTTAGCATTCCATGGATGTTGGCAGAAGACACAAGACTGTGGGGTCAGAGACAAAGAACATGCTTTAATGCTTGTTTCAGCAACAGCAATAGATTCCTGAGCCCAAATTCTCAAAGGGCAATGTTAAGAGGGTCTAATACCTGCATGCTTAGTAGTTTGTGTTATTAGAGAAAAATCCTGAACTAAAGGAACACAATCTTTTTAAAGAGATAATAAGACTGATTTGCCCGCCTTTTCCCATTTACTGTACTGTACAGCAAACAAATACATTTGCTTAAGAGGTAGACATTACCTCCATCTTTCAAGACATTGCAGTATACAAATGTCTTTGGAAAGATACTTGAAACAAAGTTGGTTCATGAGTACTTAGTTTTACATTATGGCCTAGAGGACCATAAATACTAAATGATCAGGCCTCAGCAGAACTCCGACCTCATCTTACACCTCTATACTGGTTGCTTTTCTGTCCAACCTGCCAACAACCTTTGCATTTATTCTTCCTCCCAAAGCATCACCTAGCTAACTCCTTGCCATTCCAAATTCAGCTTGAGTGAAGCCTTATTGACAACCAAATGTAAAGTAGCTTCCCATGCATTCCATCACATCACTGTGTTTTTTAATAGTACTATATTTATCAAAGTTATTATTTATTGCCTATGTTTGCTTTCTGCCCCACCCTATCATACAGAATGTAAGCATGTTTTAGAGCTAGAAATATATCTCATCTTTAAATAGTATCATGTGCTACTTAGTATCTCAGTATTTATTGGATGGATGGATTTAATTAATATTATGTCTATCTTTTTGTTCCCCTTTTCCCTTGTACTTTTCTTTTTATTGTTTTGATTAATAATATTAAACTTTATTATTTGATTTCTAATGAAAAACTTAGAGTATTTCTAGGGTTAAAAATATTATAGTAAAGGAGGAATTAACACCTTCCCCAAAATAAGATGTGCCACCTACTTGTTAAGTTTAATTACTATACATTTTTCTATTCAATAATATTATCGATAAACTGCAATTAGATAACCTATTTGGTTTCATTGGTACTGAGAATACAAACTCCATGCTGTTTGTTGGAACTTAGAAAAATCCATGTTTACCTCCTAATTCCCACTTATGCAACATGAGAGGCATTTCTTGATTTGTATAGAGCTTAGAGAATAAGAACTTAACTGGTCATATATCTATTGAGATCTTTTTATGGCTTACATGTTATTTGTTTTGATGGACAAAGAGCCTTCATTTAAAATGCCAAGTGTTTATTTAGTCATCTTTATGACACTTCTGCCTATATGAGAAAAATTCTTAAATGATTGTAATGTAAAGGAGCTATTACAGATTTTCAGCTCATTTTTATTATTTGCTCAGCTACCTTACTTGTATTCAATAGTTTACTTTGCAGAGGAGGTACAGACATCCACTAGATATTCTTTTGGAAATATATGTAGAAAAACAGTTTTGATTTGTAATTTAAATGGTTTTTATTTTTAGTTTCTGTCTCCCTTCTCTTAGTTGATTTCACTAAGATGCAGGTGCTTTAAACATAACAGTTGTATTTATAGATACATGACATGATACATGACATTTAATAAGCGTTCGTATGCTGATCTTTTAAAAGACTGGATTACTAATATAATAAGTAACCATTATTTAAAAGATATTTATTATAGTCCTACAGATAAATAATTCTCCATTTTTGTGTATGGAATCACTGTAGTTAAAATTTATCATTTTTCAAAATTTTCTTATAGCAAGCATTAAAGGAAAATGTCAAAAAAAGAGAAGCAGAGGAAAAACAAAAACGTGCCAGAATAGCCCAAGAATTGGCAGAGAAAGAAAGACTTGAACGCCAACAAAAGAAAAAGCGCTTATTAGAAATGAAGACTGGTGAGTACTATCAAATTTGCTATTTATACTTTGTACAGGTAAAATTTATACTGGTTACTTTATTGGTAGTTGAATATACTTAAGTGAAAAAGGGAGATGTGAGTACTTATTTATGTTGGTAAATCGTAAAGCTGTCCATTTTTTATGGGCTTTTCCCCTTTTTGTTTACTAACTCAGTATTTTCATTCTAATTTTGGTTGTAGGTGACTTTGGTTCCAGATTTTCACATTTTTTTTTTATAACTTTTAACAAACAATCTGTAATAATTTGTGTCAGTTAATAAACAACTGTAGGAAACTGGAAAACTCTATAGGCCAAGTAATCATGTTTCTTCAACAAAATATTATGCCAAGGGAGAAAAAAAGTGATGGAGGGAAAACTAACTGATTAAAAGAGACTAAAAAGATATATCAACCAATCACAGTAAACAGGATTTGTATAGGGTGAGGCAGAAGTAGGTTTATAGTTGTCATATGGAAAATAATACAATAGCCGAAACTGGTTTGGCTCAGTGGATAGAGCATTGACCTGCGGACTAAAAAGTCCTAGGTTCGATTCCGGTCAAGGGCATTTATTTACCTTGGTTGAGGGCACATCCCCAGTGGGAGGTGTGCAGGAGGCAGCTGATCAATGATTCTTTCTCATCGATATTTCTAACTCTCTATCCCTCTCTCTTCCTCTCTGTAAAAAATCAACAAAATATATTTAGGAAAAAAAAATGATGCAATAATCTATACTAATAATCTATATTAATAAAAGGGTAATATGCTAATTAGACCAGATGTCCTTCCTGACAAAGCTGCCCAGGTCCCTGATGCCTGCCAGCGGCGTCCAGAGGGAAGTAGCCTGAGTCCCAGGTGTAGGAGGAAAGCTGGTGCCCGCAGCTGGAAGAAGGAAGGCCTACTCTTGCACGAATTTTCATTAGTTAGTAAATAATGATCCAAGAATGAAGTGTGTTTGGCTTACAACTATAAACCTACTTTTGTCCTACTCAGTATACTCTAATTCAAATAAATGTAGGAAAAAAGTCTGAAATTTTTTAATACTTTTTTTTTCTTATAGACATGATAATGTTTTATGTTTCAAAGTATCTTTTAGAGACTCACTGAAATTTTATAGATAAAAAGAAACTATATTTGGAATTTCAGTCAAAATAGTCTAATATGACTAAAGTATGTTAGTGTAAAGATGAAACAAGATAGGCTATAAGTAATAATTACTAAAGTTGGGTGATGAATACTTGGAGGGAAGAATTTGTTTACTACATTATTTTCTCTACTTTGGGTATTTACAGTTTGACTTTGGGTGGTGGACATACAATACACTGTACAGATTGTGTATCATAGAAATGTACACTAGAAACCCATATCTTACTAACCATTGTCACCCCAATAAATGTAATTTTTTTTTATTTTTTAAAAATATATTTTACTGATATTTTACAGAGAGAAAGGGAGAGAGAGAGAGAGCTAGAAACATCAATGAGAGAAAAACATCGACCAGCTGCCTCCTGCACACCCCCCACCAGAGATGTGCCCACAACCAAGGTACATGCCCTTGACCAGAATCGAACCTGGGACCCTTCAGTCCGCAGATCGATGCTCTACCACTGAGCCAAACTGGTTTCGGCTAATAAATGTAATTTTTAAAAATAGCTCTTGGAAAAGGTATAAAAAGAAAAATTAGCAGAATTACAACTTTAGACAGCTATATATGTATATTTTCCAAAGCTAAAAGATACCACAAAGTTAGGAGCAAAAGAATTAAGTAAATTGTAGTTATATTTCACCCCCTGAAAATTCTGGCTCTTCTACCTCCAAGCCACTAAGGACTGCAGAAGCCTTTAATTAAAATCCATCAACTTCACTCCTAAATTACCATAGTTTACAATTCAGGGCTGCATATTCACCTAAGGTTTCCCTAGGGATACTCAGAGATGCCTTTTGCTTTCTCTCCTTTCATTTTTACAGACATATTTTATCTTTAATAAAGCAAACTGAGTACTTTAATGTATCTCACATGCTTCTTCCACCGGGAAAAATTCATCTAAACACAATTTCTTTAAGACTACACTTGAAATTCAAGAAGTGTTCTCTTGTTAAGGTGTAAACAAAAAAGGAGATCAGGAAGTTTTAGCATTGATTTTTAAAATATGCTCTGAAAGTCATTTTAAAATAATCTATTATTGCCTATTTTACCAAACATTCTGGTACTTGAACGTTAGCTCATTTAGTGTTGGTTAAAGAGCCATCTAGACAGTTCCTCATGCAGATTGTTGTATTATTTGCTATGATTTTTGCCTGAGGATTTGTCATACAGAGGTTCTCAACAATTCTCTTGTTAAAACATTTAAATGAAACTTTAAATCCAATGTAATCTTAATAATGATTTTATTTAAAGTTATATTTCTCCTGATGAAAACTTCCATTTCATGAATTAAGTTCATTTTTTTTTTACAATCCTAGCTAATAAAAGAGTAATATGCTAATTGACCATCACTCCAACACACAAGATGGCCGCCCCCATGTGGTCCAAGATGGCCACCACAAGATTGCCTGCAGGTGAAGGCAGTTGGGAAGGACTAGGCCTGCAGCTTTATTAAAGATAAAATATGTCTGTAAAAATGAAAGGAGAGAAAGCAAGAAGGCATCTCTGAGTACCCCTAGGGAAACCTTAGGTGAATATGCAGCCCTGAATTGCTTGTTTGAGAGATTTTAGGAAAATCCAAAGCATAAAGCAACCCCTGCTGGTTTTTATAGCCACAATTATGGGGAATTCTCTTCCTGGTACTGGAACTCTGTGTTGGGTGTCTGGGGTGGGACCAGGCCCTTCACTCCTCAGGGAAACTTCCACAACCAAGATATTCCTCCTGATGTTATGCCACCTCATGTGTATGTGGGACCAGCCAATTCTTTGATTCCACCTAGCCACTCTGTCCCCCCTACCAGTCTCAATGTGCTTCTTGTTCAATCCTCTAGTTGTGGGACTTCCAATCAGCTAGATTTCAGGTTATTCTGAATGATAGTTTTTCTGTATTTTAGTGGTAGTTTTGGTGTGGCTATAGGAGGTGGTGAGTACAGGGGGATTACCTACACCACCATCTTGACTGGAACCTCATTGGGTTTTTTTTGTTTGTTTGTTTCCCTTTAATTCTCACCGAGGATTCTTTTTCCATTGCTTTTCAAAGAGAGTGGAAGGAAGGGAGAAAAGGCAGGGGGAGAGAGAGACATTAATGTGAGAGAGATATCGACTGGCTGTCTCCTGCACTTGCCCCAACATTGGGCAGGAAGTGAACTCACAACCGAGGTACTTTCCCTTGACCAGGAATTGAACCCACAACCCTTTGATATGAGGACCGACACTCTTTCCACTAGCCACACTAGCCAGGGCCAGAACCTCAGTTTTTTTTTGTTTTTTTTTTTTGTTGTTGTTTTAATATATTTTTATTAGTTTCAGAAAAGAAAAGAGAGGGTAAAAACACCAATGATTAGATAGAATCATTGATCAGCTGCCTTCCGCATGCCCCCCACTGTGGATGGAGCCTGCAACCCAGGAATGTGCTCCCGACCGAAATTGAAACTGGGACCTCTCAGTCCTCAGGCTGATTATGCTCTGTCCACTGAACCAAACAAGGCAGCACCAGAATCTCAGTTTTGACACTTTTAACAGATCACTGAATTTGGTGCATTTCTGAAATTTGACAAATACTGTCTTCATACAATGTATTATTATGAAAAATACAAGTGCTGTGGTCTTCCAATATTTTATTGGTGTAGAAAGAAATTTAATAGCTCAACTACTTTTGTTTCTTTTTTTCATCAACTAATAGGTTTTTTCCTGAATGCTCAAGTACATTAATAAATAAGGTTAAATAAGATCTTTGCTACAATGAAGTTATAAATTTTAATAAATGATTCAAACAACTTATATAATACAGCTTATAAAAAGTTATATGAAATTAAATAAGACAGGATAATAAGATGGAGATGGGTACTAATTGGAATGGCAACTGGTGGCAACAAAATTTGGTCTTAGAAAACTAAGGAGAATATTAATATATTAATAATAATATATTACTAACATTAATAATAATATTAATATATAGCACATGATATTAATAAATGTGCTAATTTAAAATTTTGGTAATATAAAACTACTTAAAAATTCACAGGAAAACCAGTCATTTTTTTTTTTTTTTTTTTGGAGTGATTTATTTATTTATTTATTTATTTATTTATTTTTATTTTTTTTTTCTTGATTTATTTTTTTTTCTTTTTTTTTTTTTTTTTTTTTGCCCCCTCTCCCTCCCTCCCTCACATCCCCTCCCTCCCCAGAGTTTTATGTCCAATGGTTGTACTTATATGCATGTATAAAAGTCCTTCGATTGATCTATTATCTCCCCCAGATCTTCCTCCCCTCCCCACTGTAATTTGACAGTCTGCTTGTTGATATACTATCTTTATATCTATCTTTTGGTTCATCAGTTTATAATGTTCTTTATTATCCACAAATGAGTGAAGTCATGTGGTGTTTTTCTTTCAATGACTGGCTTATTTCACTCAGCATGATGTTCTCCATTTCCATCCAGGTTGCTGCAAATGAGAATTCCTTCCTTTTTATGGCAGCATAGTATTCCATTGTGTAGATGTACCAAAGTTTTTTGATCCAATCATCTGCTGATGGGCACCTAGGCTGTTTCCAAATTCTAGCTATTGTAGATTGTGCTGCTATGAACATAGGGGTGCATATATCCTTTCTGATTGGTGTTTCTAGTTTCTTGGGATATATTCCTAGGAGTGGGATTACTGGGTCAAATGGGAGTTCCATTTTCAGTTTTTTGAGGAAACTCCACACTGTTCTCCACAGTGGTTGCACCAGTCTGCATTCCCACCAGCAGTGCACGAGGGTTCCCTTTTCTCCACAACCTCGCCAACACCTGTCGTTTGTTGATCTGTTGATGTTGGCCATCCTGACAGGTGTGAGATGGTACCGCATTGTTG